AAAAAAAAAAAAAAAAAAAAAAAAAAAAAGCACTCGGCGGCGAGCTGGGGAAACGAACGGACGACAGGGGAGAAATCCCGTCGAAGGTCGACCGGAATTGTGGCCATGTACTTGCTGATGTGGCGTCACATCAGGCTGACGCGGCTTATTGAAGACACTAATCAAGCGATCATTACCTGCTGATGTGGCATCACACCAGGCTGACGCGGCTTATTGAAGACAATAATTACGTGATCACAGACGGATTGGGCAGATGCTTGCTGCTCACGTGGCTGCCAAGCATCTCCACTCTAGACGACCTTATTGGCCATTAACGTTGACATGGCATGATGTGCGACCTCGGCTGGATCGGAGTGTGACACGTGGTGGGTGGTGCGGGTGGAGGACTACACTCTAACAGTGGGAGAGAAGGAGGAGGCGAAGAAGAGGGGCAGAAATAAAGAGGAAATATACACACTTGGGGAAGCTCGTGATAGAAGGGGGAGAAAGGGGAAGGAGGGAGGACAGCAGGCGAGAAGGAAAGAGCGAAGAACGGTAAAGCAGGGAGGAGGCGGGGACAAAGGAAGGGTGGCAAACAACGAGACAGAGAAAGGAAGATTGGGGGAGAAATGGGAGAGATCAGGAAGCGAAGCAGAAGTGGCCCGCCAGTTTCAACCAAGAGCACGCAGGTAAAGGATTACAGACAGCACGCGAGGGGGAGAAGGCGAAGAAGAAGGGCTGGAAGAAGGAGGCAACACATGCTATTGTGAAAGATTGGAAGATTGCGGCAATGAGCAAACTGACTGAATAGAAAGGAAGAGGTGCAGAAGAGAGACAAAGTAGACAGGTATTCCACTCTTCCAAACCCCCTCGACAAAACCAGTCCGCCTGCCTGCCCTTCCATCCCCGCCCTGGGTAACCCCCGAGGCCAGCAGAGGAGTTCTGGACCGAGCAAGGAACAACCGAATAAGGAAAATAAAAACACAGAGAAGAATTCCGGAACTTGTGAGGCACATTCATCTGAACAACAGAAATAAAACAAAAAGCATCGAAAAACAAAGAAAAAAGGGATCGAATTCTGACACACCGAGCAGAAGAGAAAAGCACAGACACGGCATCTCAGGGGAGAAGAAAGGGAACGAAATCTCCCACACCGTGCAGAAGAGAAAAGCGATGAATCTGGGAGCCAAAAGAGGCAAGGGACCTGGCTCCCTGATCTACTACCACAGTGCCATGAGACACAACCACTTGGCCATAAACCCATACGGAAAAGCAGTGCTTAAGAAGACTGCCTCACTACTATGTTACCGCGCGTTCATTGAACGCGCGTTTGGCGTTCAGTTTTTGAACGCTTTGAACGCGCGTTCAATGAACACCCCTGAACGCAGTTGACGCGTTTGCACAGGGGTCTGTCAGGGCTGGGGGGGTGCCTCTGAGGGCGCTGGAGTGTCGGCGGTGTTCACGGGAGCCTCCCGGGAGGTTGTGGTCCCGGAAAAAAAAAAAAAAAAAAAAAAGGCCCGCGTTTCGTCGCGGGGCGATATATAGCGGGGGGAGCGTTC